GCGAGCGCGGGCGGGGCTGCGCTCAGGCGCCGCCTCGCGCCCGCGGTGCTCCGCTCCGACGACGGCCGCGGCGGCCGCCGCCGCCGACGCCGCCGGCGCCGGCGCCGACGCCGACCGCCATGGCGGCGACCGCCGCGCCCCCGCCGCGCTCCCAGGCGCGGTCGCCCCGAGGCTCGAGGCTCGAGGTTGCTGGGCCCAGACAGACATGCGACGTCCTGATTTTTTCAGGACGGGGTCCCTGGAAGTCCCGACCTTTTCCCCAGGACCGGCTTGTCGTCCCGAGTCGTTTTCTGACGCTCCCGAGGCCCGGCGAGGGCCCCCCGAGGCCGGAAATTGCCAAAAACCTTCCGTCTTGATTCTGTTACGACGCGAGCATGTCTGGGGACATGCGTCGCAGGCCCAGAGGTTGACACCAACACCAACATGTGCCTGCACCCAGGGAAGAAGATCCCGATCTCGGCGATAGTGGTAATACTTCTGGCTTCCAGGGTGGCCGAAATATGACCACCGACGCCGGAATCTAGGATCATCTCCCCCCTGTGGAGGCAAGCCCCCCATTGTTGGTGTTGGTGCCCACCTTCCAGGCCTCCAAACATGCTGGGCACCGCTTCGCCCGAGGCGGCCCGAGGCGGCCGGTCGATTCGCTCGTGCGGCCGGCGCCTGGCTGGCCGCTCGCGGCGGGCCGCCGGGCTGCCGGCTGCCCCGTGCCGCGCGCGGCGGGCTGCCGGCCGCGGCCGAGCGCGGCCGCGCTGCGAAGGCCGCCGCGCGGGCGGGCGGCCATCCCGCGGCCATCGGCAGCAAGTCTCTACCCAGACATGATCGCGTCGCCCCCCCAAAAAAAAACGGTCGTTCTTGTTTTTGATTTTTCTTGCTTGTTTTTTGTTGTTTGGCCAAGTTCGGCCCGGGGGGGCCCTCGACGGGCTTCGGGACCGTCAAAACACGACTCAGGATGAAAACCCGGTCCCGGGGAAAGGGTTGGGACTTCCGGGGGCCTTGATTTGAACGAGTCACGGCGCCGCGTGTCTGGGAATCTCCCAGAGGGGGTCCGAGCATGATGGGGTCGGCCGCGAGCCGGGGCCCTGCGCCGCACCGCGAGGGCCGCTGCGCGGGCGCGCGGCCATCCCGCAGCCATCCTTTCGGCCCCTCTCTCCCCGTGACTCGCGACTGCGGGCCCTAGCGTAGGGGAGCAATTTTTTGATCTGCAGGGCGCTCCGAGACAGCGTATGGGGGAACAAACAAGGGCAGAAACATACAACCTCGGAGGTCCGCGCGGACTTCTCGGATCCGCGCGGGAGCCGCCCGGCGGCGCCGCCCCTGGCGCGCTCCGCGTGGCGCGCTCGAGGGGGGGTCCAGAACCTGAGCCGAGGACTCCGCGCAGGACGCGAAAAGTTTATGCTCACTCTGCGTTTTCTCTCCTTCTCGTGGCTCCGCGGCCCGACCCGTGGCTCCGCGACAGGGGGCCCAGAGGCGGGCGGCGTGCCCGCCTTCGCCCGGGAGCCTCGCCGAAGGCGCGGGCGACGGGAGCCCTCTAGGGGCACGCGCACAGCACACAGCACACGCCCACCCTGGGCTGGCTCTGCCCCCTGTTGTTGCGACCGCCGAGCCTCAGTCGGGCAGGTCCCTCTACAGGAGGAACATCCCAAAATAGTCAACACGTAGTCTGGGGACGGTTTTGTGAGTTTCATTTGTCTGCGCAATTCCGCTTGTAGGAGGACGTGCCCGACCTAAGCCGAGCCCTGAGTTCGGTAGCAAGCCATGGGAGCCTGGTGTACCCTCTGAATTCCGTCTGTAGCGTCGACTAGCGTCGGTTAGCGTTTGGGAGTCGATGAGATAGCGCCGATCTAGCGTCGATTATCGTCGACTAGCGTGGATTCAGCGTCCACTAGCGTCGATTAGCGTCGACTAGCGTCGATCCTGCAGCCATCCCTTCGGCAGCAAATTGTGGGAGCCTGGTATAACCTTTTGATTCCGTCTTCAGCGTCGATGATTGTCGATTGGCGTCTGGGAGTCGATAAGATAGCGTTGATTTAGCGTCGATGAGCGTCGTTCAGCGTCGATTCCGCGCCGATTTGCGTCAATCAGCGCCGACTCGCGAGAGCCGACGGAGGCTCCCGTGAGTTGCCACCGGACTGCCTGGGTGCTTCGCTGCCCTGAGGCGCCCAGGTGGAGCACGCAGGGCGCACCGGGTCAAAAAGGCTCGGACCGCTACGTCAGGCCTTGGGTTCCACGCGTGGGCCGCTCTGGGGCTCCGTCATTGGGGGCAACACGTGGTCAGGGTCCCAGGCCACCGGGGCAGGGTGGTGGTCGGGGTGCGAGGCGCGCGGCGCGCTTCCTCCCGCGCATTCTGGGCTGAAGCAGCGTAGGACCATGGTGTCGGCGATGCTGGGGATGAGGGTGGTAACGATGGCGTGGTGGTGAGGGTGATGATGGACAGGATCGTGATCATGATGGCGATGCTGATGATGCTGATGCTGATGATGCTGATGCTGCTGATGCTGCTGATGATGCTGATGCTGATGGTGCTGGTGATGGTCATGGTGCTGAGGATGCTGATGATGCTAAGTATGACGATGATGCTGATTATTATCATGATGATGCTGATGATGCTGATGATGATGCTGATGATGATGACGATTATGAGAATGATTCTTATGATGATGAAGATGAGTATGAATCCGATGATGGTGGTGATGGTGATGATGGTGATGCTGACGATGATCATTACGATGACGATGATGATAATGATGCTGATGACGGCGACAAGCATTCTAATGACGATGATGATGGTGATGATGATGATTCTCACGATGCTGATGATGAAGAAGATGATGATGCTGCTGCTGATTATCATGATGATGGCGATGATGATGATGATGATGATGATGATGATGATGATGATGATGATGATGATGATGATGATGATGATGATGATGATGATGATGATGATGATGATGATGATGATGATGATGAGATGGTGACGGTGATGGTGATGGTGATGGTGACGATGACGATGGTTGCAATGATGATGGCGGCGCAAGTGATGGTGACTTTGGGTTGGAGGGAGGATGAGGGGGAGGATGGTGATGAGGATGACTGTGAGGAGGAGTAGGAGGAGGTGGAGGAGGCATCAGAAGAGATGAGCAATGAGGGTTTGGGATTCGGGGAGGAGGGATGGGGAGTGAAGTGGGAGGACGGGTCGGGCGAGGGAGGAGCCGAGATAGGAGGAACGAGGGATGGATGAAGGGTGGACAGAGGAGGAGGGAGATGGCCTGTTGCTTTGTCCGTGCTCTCGGTGCGGGACAGTGCTTGTGCGGTGCAAGCGGGGAAGAGGGTGGCACGCACCGGCTCCCTACGTGTGACGTGCCCTTTACACGCCTCTTGCTTGGGGCAGCGCGTGGCATCAGCTAACCGCGTGCCTGGGATAATCAAGCATTGCCCTCCTTAGTCCCGGGTCAAGATAGAGTTGGTCGGGGGAAAGGGGCGGTGAAGCCAAACTTTATCTTCGCCGGGGAAAGTACGAATCGATATTGTTATCTTCTTATGTTGAGTAACGACACTATCACGAACGCGTGGCAGGGAAATTGGGCTCTGACCACTTCCGCTGTCCCAGCGCACGAAGGTACATATGGCAGGACTATTGCGCTTTCACCGCTCCAGCTGTCCCGATTCACGAACGTGTGGCAGGCCGGCAGGCCCACGGGATTCTCATCATTCCAGCTTTCCCAGGTCACGAACACGTGGAAAGGCTATGGGGCTCTCATCGCTTCAGCCGCCCAGGTCATGATCGAGCGGTAGGGCCACGGGATTTTCACAACGTGAGCCTTTCCAAGTCACGAGCGTGTGGCAGGGCTGTGAGGCTCCCACCACTTCAGCTTTCCCAAGTCACGAACGTGGGGCAAAGCCATTGGGTTTTCACCATTTCAGCTTTCCAGCTCAAGAACGTGTTGCATTGCCATGCGGTTCCCACCATTTTTCAGTTTTCCCAAGTCACGAACACGTGGCAAGGCCATTGGGTTCGCACCGCTTCAGCTTTCCCAAATCACGAACGTGCGGCTCGGTCATGGAGTTCTCATCCTTTCAGCTGTCCCGAGCCACGAACGTGTGCCAGGGCCTTGGAATTCTCACCATTTCAGCTGTCCCAAGTCACGAACGAGTTTCGCTTTTGGGATGGGTTCTCACCAGTTACGCTTTCCCAGACTACGAACGTGCGGCAGGTGTATGGGATTCCCACCATTCCCGCTCCGCACAGCACGAACGTGAGGTTTCTCCCTTCCCCCCTCCCCGTCCCCCCCTTCTTCCTCCCCTTTCAGGCCCCCCCGCAGCTGTTCGAGGCCCGAGCTTTGCCGAATCGCCACGGCAACTGCCGACCGCCACGCTTCCGGGCCGGCCTGCGCCGCCGAACATGGCGTTCTCCAGAGGCCACACCTCCGATCAGGCGCCGATCGAGGCCCAGAGCGCCAAGATTGGCAAGCTCTTCGCCAAGCAGGTTAAGCAGAACGAGGTCCTCATCAACTTGATGGGCCGCCTCGCCGAGAAGGCCACCATCCCGAGATGCGCCAGTGCCAGACGAGCGGCGAAGCAACGAACGCCGCTTCGAGGATGACGAGCAGCTTTCTCCACGGCACGAACGCCCCCTGGTCCAAGAGCGCCCAAGGCAACATCAACATCCTCGATATGGTGAGCCAGAAGGGCAAGGTCGAGGCCATCGAGCAAGCCCGCATCTTCGCCGAATAGGAGAAACGCCGCTGCGAGATGGTCAGCGTTCTATCTTCTTGGCGACGGACGTCGAGAAGTCCGAGGTCGCGTTCGGCGCTTCCGTCGGCGACGGCCACAACCTCGGCGAGCTCTCCTAGCTGCCGCCGCGCTTCCGGTCCGCGCTGCTCGAGAACAACATGGAGAAGGACGTCGCACTCGGCGCCGAGAACATGGTCGAGTCGAGCTACGGGAGTTAAATCGCGCGCATCAGGGTCGGGCAGGGCGATCCCCCCGCCGGCTTCCAGGCGCTCCGCGCGGTGTGCCTCCCTGTGGACGTGCGCTTCGCGCCCGTGCTGCCCGGCTGCAAGGTTGCAGAGGCCGAAGGGGCGCTCGACCCCGTCGACAACTTGCCCCAGGAGGTCAACGCGAGCATCGAGTGGGCCCGCGAGAACCGGGCGCCCGCGAAGGTCAGGTGCGCGGGAGCTGCCGGGGCGCTCGTCGGGATGCGTTGGCCCCTCGAACGCCACATCGAGAACCGTTCCCCGAAGCGCGGCGCCGTCTTGATCGAGCGCGCCGCCCTGCTCGAGCGCAGCGCGGCCGAATGTGAGGCGGGCGAGAAGGCACTGGGCGCCGATGGGATTTTCGTCTAGTTGAGAGCGTCGTCGAGGTTCGCGCTTCCGCCGAGCTTCTCGAGCTTGACCGCGCCCGTTGCCAGCTTTCCCGCGGGTCTTTTCAGCCGAGCGCTCCGGGCCGCGAGCGTCTCGAAATGATTTTTTTTTCTTCCAAGTTCCCGAGCGTCTGGGAGATTTGTGAGGGTCGACCTTAGAGTGTGTTAGACAAGTTCCCAAGAAAAAAGCATCGAGTGTGTGGTCGGTGAGGGTCGACCTTAGATCCTCGGGTCGAGGGTCTTCGATTATGGATCCGAGGATTTCGGGGCATATTGGGCCCTGGTTTCGAGGGTCGTCGATCTTGGGCTTGCGGATATTGGAAGGGTCGAACATCGAGCCGCCCCGCAAAAAGTGAGCAAGGGGTCACTATGCCGTTTTATGTTTCAATTTCCTTGCTCTTCCAACCCCGTCCTGGAACCCTCTCCAGAGCGAGGAAACATGGCCGCGCCCTGCTCTCTTTGGCTTCGCGCTCCGCCGAGGGGTCCCGCCAGGGAGAGCAGGGCATCGCTATTTAATCGTATTTCTCCAGCTCTGTGCTCCTCCGATTGGGCAGGCCCCGCCAAAACGAGCAGGGTATCGCTATTTAATTGTATTTCTCCAGCTCCGTGCACCTCCGACTGGGGAGGCCCCGCCAAAACGAGCAGGGTATCGCTATGCCGCGTAAGACATCCCACCCCGGCCTCAGAGCGTTCGCGTTGCATGGGCAATGAATTTAAGATCCCCTCAAATCCCGAAGTGTCTGATCCCTCCGGTGTGATTGCGAGGGGCGTCGGGTTATTTGTTTCGCGGGGAACGGGGGAAGGCGCTGCAATGCACGCCTTAACTTATTGCGCGTGCGGTTGACGTCAAGTGCTGGCTCGCGGCAGCGTTTATATCGTGATCGTTTTAGTCCCTTGAGAACCATCTTAGAATCGGTTGCGAACTGTAGAGCGGTCGCCGCCGTCTCGTTCACAGGCCGCTTGCAGCGTTGGTTTGCGATCGATGTCCCCTTCCCGCGAGGAGCGTACTGGAACGATGGCAAGAAGCGGAGGATCAGCAAGAGGAGGAGGAGGAGGAGGAGGAGGAGGAAGAGGAGGAGGAGGAGGAGGAGGAACAGGAGGAGGTAAACAGGGGACGCGGGATGATGGAAGAACGGGGGCAGGGATGATGAGGAGAAAAACAAGGAAAAGAAGAGGAGGAACGGGAGGAGGAAAAGTAGGACGAGGATTGGTGGGGTGGGGGTTCCGTGGCAACCTGAGTCAAGCCCAGTGGCACGGCAGCGGGGTCCCCTCGGTCCCGCTTCGTCGTTGTTGGCGCGGATGGCAGCGGCCGCGTCGCAGCCAGTGCTGGCCTCGTGGCGGGAGGCGCGGCCTTCAGGAGGCCAGCGAACATGGTTGCGGCCGAGATGGTGAACATTGCAAGTTCATCGTTCCGATATTCACGCGTGAGTATGAAATAGTCGTAGTCGTAGTCGTAGTCGTAGCCGTAAACGTAGTAGTAGTAGTAGTAGTAGTAGTAGTAGTAGTAGTAGTCAGTAGTAGAGTAGTAAGTAGTAGTAGTTAGTAGTAGTAAGTAGTAGTAGTAGTATAGTAGTAGTAGTCGTAGTCGTAGTCGTAGTCCGTAGTCGTAGTAGTCGTAAGTAGTAGTAGTAGTTAGTAAGTGTAGGTAGTGAAGTAGTATTTAGTAGTAGTATAGTTGTAGTAGTAGTGGTAGTGTTTAGTAAAGTAGTAGTATAGTAATGTAGTAGTATAAGTAGTAGTAGTAAGGAGTATAAGTAGTAACTAGTATAGTAAGTGAACTAGTACTAGTAGTAGTAGTAGTAGTAGTAGTAGTAGTAGTAGTAGTAGTAGTAGTAGTAGTAGTAGTCGTGGTAGTAATTATAGTAATCGTAGTATTAGTGGTATTAGTAGTGGTACTCGTAGTCGTAGTAGTCGTAGGAGTAATGATAGTAGTAATCGTAGTACTAGTACTGGTAGTAGTAGTAGTAGTAGTAGTAGTAGTCGTCGTCGTCGTCGTCGTCGTCGTCGTCGTCGTCGTCGTCGTCGTCGTCGTCGTCGTCGTCGTCGTCGTACTCGTCGTCATCGTCGTCGTCGTCGTCGTCGTCGTTCGTAGTCTGTCGTCCGTCGTCGTCGTCGTCGTCGTCGTCGTCGTCGTC